TTCAAATATGAAAATAGGTTGTGGCCATAAAAAGAAGACTAAAAATATTTTTATAGTCATTGGGAAATCTTCAAATGCTTTAACACAATCACAGACAGAGGTCTTTGTTTTAAAGATCACATACATGGGTGACAGGACAACAAAAAATTAAGAAGAAGAAAAACAGTGGCTATGGAATCAATTCCAACTCATGGTACACATATCAGAATAGAACGGTGCTTGAAAGAGTTTTCAATGCTTGTGATATTCCAAAAGTAAACCTCCAGGCTTATCTTTTGAGGCACCTCTAGATGTAAGGAGGTGGGGATTACAAACAGACACCAGGACAGCAGGAAGTGAAAATTAGAAAGGTTCAACATTTTTTCAAGATGTAAAACACAACATGGAAAAGAATGGAAAGAACAATTACTGCTCTTGCTTGAAACATTGACTTATGCTGTTGTTACTGTTAAGTGCAATGAAGTTAGTTCTAACTCATAGTGAACCTGTATAGGGTTTCCAGCTGGGAGATTCCAAATGCCGGCCTCTGGGTAGCAGTCCAGCACATCTCCAACAGCACCACTCTAGGACTGCAGAGAGTGTGGCTACTAACACAGGAATAGAAGGAAAGGATCACAGACTGAAACTTCAGGACAGACGTTCCAGGTGAAAATGGCTCGTTAGGAACAGATCAAAGAGAACAAGAGCGAAAATGGGCACAGTACGTGAATAGACGCTTCACCAAGGAAGTGATTCGGGCAGCCAAAAAACATATGAAGAAATGTTCATGATCACTAACCATTGTTGTTGTTGTTAAGTGCCGTGGAGTCGGTTCCGACTCATAGTGACCCTGCACAGGATTTCTGAGGCTGTAAATCTTTATGGGAGCAGAACGCCTCATCTTTCTCCCGCGGAACCTCTGGTAGTTTCAAACTGCTGACCTTGAGGTTGGCAGCCCGACTCATAACCACTACGCTACCAGAGCTCCTTGCCATTAGCCATTTGTTGTTGTTGTTAAGCGCCGTCGAGTCGGTTTCTACCCATAGCGACCCTGAATAGGGTTTCCGAGACTGTAATCTTTACGGTAGCAGGTTGCCTCATCTGTCTCCCGCGGAGCAGCTGGTAGTTTCGAACTGCTGACCTTCCAGTTCGCAGCCCGATTCGTAACCACTACGCTACCAGAGCTCCTTAGAGGGATGTAAATCAAAACAATGAGATATCATCTCACACCAGCAATAACAGCAAAGTTATAAATTGCTGAGGACAATGTGCTGGCGAGGTTGAGGAGAGACAGGGACCCTCCTACATTGCTGGTGGGAATGCAAAATGGTCCAACCACTCTGGAAAACAGTATGGTGCTTCCTCAGAAAGTTGGAAATAGAAATACTGTATGATCCAGCATTTCCTCTACTTGGTATATATCCATAAGAACTACGAGCTATAACACGAGTAGATGTCTGCACACCAATGTTCATAGCAGCACTATTCACAATAGCAAAAACATAGAGACAACATAAGTGCCCATCATTGGAAGAATGGATAAACAAACTTGGGTACATACACACAATGGAATATTATGCTGTCTTGAAGAATATCAAGGAAGCTGCAAGCCACCATATAACATGGAAAAATCTTGAGGAAAAGCAGCAATTGAGACTGAAGTAGAATGGTCAAATAGTTAGGAGTAGAACTGAGAGAGAGAAGTGCCATAGACTAAAAATTTAAAATTGAAATTTCTATAAGCCCATAGGATTTGTCAATGATTGTTTTAGAAATTGAATTAAAAAGCAGGTCTTACATGTATGTAAGCCTATCTTCTACATAATAATGTCAATAATGTCAGCTGTAGAATCAAAGTCAAATAGGATAATTACTAGTTTTGGCAAACAAGGGTCATGCGATCTTCAAAAGGTAAACTGTGACTTGAGTTGTAAGCCAGATGCATTGAATTTAAAAGGAAATAGCATAGTGATTACGAATTGGGCTGCTAACCTCAAGGTCTGTAGTTTGAAACTACCAGTTGTTCTGTTGGAGAAAGATGAGGCTTTCTGCTCCCGTAAAGATTTACAGCCTAGCAAACCCTGTGCAGGGTCACTATGAGTTGGAACTGACCCCACGGTACTTAACAACAAGAGCAAATGAAAATAACAATTGTGTTATATGTTAAGCCTTAGTGGAAGATTCTCTAACCCTTGATATCTGGGGAAAATTCTCGTAAAGCCCGTATAGTTTGATTGTTGAAAATCCAAAACTCTTCTAAACATTTCTGCACCTCTAGGCAATTTACTTCCTCATTTTTCTTTTATGCCTTTTGATGTTTGATTCTTCTAATCTTGATGCTTCCTGTGCCTTCTTTTATATATATAAAATTACAGCTGTTATTTATAAGAGCATATCTTGAAGTACAATGCTGTCTGTGATAGGATAATATCATCCCAACAAGGTAGACTAGTTAATACCACTATTATTCAAATTAACATACCAACTACTAAAACCAGTGATGATGAAATGGAAGAATTCTACCGACTTCTTCAGTTTGAAAGTGAATACAATCAAAATCCATTGAAAATTACTGGTGATTGGAATTCAAAGGTTGGAGACAAAGAGGAAGGATTAGTATTTGGAAAACATGGCCTTGGTGATGGAAATTATATAGGAGGTTTCTTGATAGAATTTTGCAAGATGAATGGCATCTTCATTGAAAATACCTTTTTAAACAATATAAAAGACAAGAGTGCACATGGGCCTCATCAGATGCAAACCACAGGAATCCAATCAATTATATCTGTAGTTCAATATCATTACTCTAAACAAGGCCAGCAACCAACAGTGAAACAAACAAATCTCACATGCAAGTTCAGGCTGCAGAAAAAGAAAATTAAAACAAGTCCATGAGAATTTAAAATAAACTTGAGTACCTCCCATCTAAATTTAGAGACCATCAGATTTGATGCAGTGGATACTAATGACTGAAAACCAGAAAAGTTGTGGCAAGACATCAAAAACATACATAAAGAAAGCAGAATGTCATTAAAATGTCAGGAGGGAAAGGAAAGACCAAAATGATGTCAGAGGAGAACCTGAAGCTTGATCTTGAACACAGAGAAGCTAAGTGACTTTAAGGAATGATGAAATAAAAAAGCTGAACAGAAAATTTCAAAGAACAGTTGGAGACAAAAAGTAAATATTACAATGAAATGTGCAAAGACTTGGTGTTAAAAAACCGAAAGTGAAGAAGATGCTTAGCATTTCTCAAGCTGAAAGAACAAGAAAAACCCTTGGGTTGCAATATTGAAGCTTTCTATGGATGAATTATTGAATGATGCAGAAAGCACCAGAAGAAAATGGAAGAAATACACAGTCACTGTATCAAAGAAAACAAATTGGTGCATGTTCAGTGATAAAAGAGGTGCTATATGCTAAAGAACCAATGGTTCTGAAGGGAAAAGTCCAAGCTGTAGTGAAGGTATTGGCAAAAAAACAAGTTTTCAGGAATTGATGGAATACAAATTGAAATGTTTCAACAAACTGATATAGCCCAGGAGGCACTCACTTATCTGTGCCAAAAAATTTGGAAGACAACTACCTGGTCAACTGATTAGAAAAGATCTATATTGTGCCCATTCCAAAGTGAAGTGAATTAACTGAATGCAGAAATCATTGAACAATCTCACCAATATTACATGCAATGAAAATTTTGTTGAAAATAGGGAGCTGCCAAAATTCAAGCCAGAATCCAAAGAGGACATGGAATTGGGGAAACCATTTCTGATGTCAGATAGATCTTGGTTAAAAACTTAAAATACTGGAAAGATGTTTATTTTGCTTTCTTGATATGTGTTGTTGCTGATATGTGCAGTGGAGTTGGTTCCAACTCACAGTGACCCTGTACAGGGTTTCTGAGGCTGTAAAATCTTTATGGGAGCAGAAAGCCTCATCTTTCTCCTGTGGAACAGCTGGTAGTTTCGAACTGCTGACTGTGAGGTTAGCAGCCCAATTCATAACCACTATGCTACCAGAACTCCTTATTCAAATGTGTAGATTGTAAGAAACTATCGATAACACTGAGAAAAATTGGTAATCCAGAACACTTCATTGTGCTCTTGAGGAATCTGGACATATACAGACCAAGATGCTATGCTGTCATTTGAAAATAGCACAGGGATATTGAATGACTTAAAATCAAGAAAGGTGTATGCCAAGGTTATATTCTTTAGCCATACTTATTCTATCTGGTAAATGCTGTCGAGTTGGTTCCGACTCATAGCAACTCCATATAGGATTTCCGTTAGTGGCTGGTAAGTTTGAAACATCGACCTTGCAGTTCAAATGATATCCCGGTACAGTCCTTATCCTACAGCGCCACACCAGAACTTGAAAAGCCTTCAATTAACATTTTTTGGTGAATCTATCATGTGCAATTTATTCTAAATTTTCCTGATCACCGCTTTAAATAATTAAAACAGTCATGTAAAAGTTGTTGAAATTATTGTAACTACTTTAGGCAAGTAAACTAAAGTCATGCTGGGTAATAATAGTATTGACACTTTTTCTCATCTCATTCTAAAGACATCACTGTGATACAGGAAATTATAGTCAATTTTTTTTTAAATAAAATAAGAGGCTCAGAGAGGAAAAGTAACTATCCAAGATCCCACAGCTTTAGTATGCTCTAGGACTCTTGGTATGGTACTGTAGGATCAGCACTGGACTGCAAACCACAAGGGTCGCTATGAGTTGGAATCAACTTGATGACACTTAACAACAACAGAAGCTATTGGTGTAGCACTGTAGGATAAGCACTGAACTGCTAACCCCAAGGTCTGCTATTGAAATCCATGAACTGCTCTTAGAAAACCCTATAAAGGTCACTGTGAGTCAGCATTGAATTGATGGCTCTTAACAAAACAGGATCCACTTTGTTATCACTGCGTCAATCTTTGTTTGATGTCTAAACCTAAAAGTGACAGAGAATTGTGGAACTGTAATTGTGTCTGATTGTGTGAATTTTTATTGCATAGGAAAGACTGGTGAATCTCATATTTTCAGCATTTTGGAAGAGAGTAAACTAATGGTGGATAAAGCCATCTACAATACAATGAAAAGGTAAGGCATACAAAATAGGTTAAAAGTGAGAAGGGAGGGAAATTACATTTCAAGCCATTAAATGCTAAATCCTCTGTGATTTATATACATTTTTATTTTAATTTTCACAATTGCTTCCTAAATCGTTCCCATCATCTCCATTTTACAAATTAGGAGCTGATACTCAAATTCACTATTCAATATCATAAGCCATGAGAGGGGCAGTTCTTAGCAGAATTGGTAAAAATAAAACAAAAAAACCTGGCTGGTAAAGGCATGTTTAACCTTTGCCTCAAAGGAATTTTTGATGAAGATAATGATTTTCGCTCACCTTATGAAATTAGAGGCTGCCACACACTGCCCCCCATGAGATTCTTGTTGTCGTTGTTATTAAGTGCCGTCAAGTTGGTTCCGGCCCATAGTGATCTTGTGTAGGGTTTCTGAGGGACATTTGGTGTCTTTGAACGGCTGACCTTGCAGTTCAACCTGACATTGCAGTCCAGTATGTTATCCCACACTGCCACACCAGGACTTCATGACATTCTTACACATCCTTTAAAAGAGAGTCTAAGACAAAGACAGTCAGTACCTCTTTGTACAAGACATTCAGAAAACCAAAACTATAGAGAATTATTTCCTAAAAATATTCAACATTCATTTGTACAACTTGCTGGCTTCTAGTGAATTTTTTCAAGATGTTATTTCCCTGCCCACCACTCTAATTAATCTTTGTTAATTTATCTCATAAAACATTTAATTAAGGGCACAAATAGTCAAGAACTTGACTATTTGTCAAAAAGTGGGTGGTTTGAACTCATCCAGAGAGACCTTGGAAGATAGGCTCAGCAATCTGCTTGTAAAAGTTCTGCTCTCTGCACACATGGGTGGGGTTGTCATAGATCAGAATTGACTTGATGGAAACTAAAAACAACAACAGGATTCCAAGCAGCCCAATATGACCAATGTGCAGGATTTTCACAACCTTGTCAACTACACTATAGCCAACATACAACTAGCTGAGCAAATCTCAAAATCCATCAGGACCCAATTAGAAAGCCAAGTGACTTTCTCCTTAGGTTTCTGAATATATCTTTTACTTGGTAAAGCAGAATTTATAAGGAATTTTACAGACTGCTCTTAGGTCTACATGGAGGAAGTTGAGGGCTATCTGCTATCCATGACAACTCTGATTAGTGAGTTGAGGCTAACTAGTGTTTCCAAGGTAGTTACGATTATTCAAATTTTGAGGGAAAAAGAAACTAGAGTGTACCAAGGTTAAATAATTTTTTTCAACTTTATCTAGCTGGCAAGTAAAAGGAACAAAGATGGATGAATGAATGATGGGTGGCAAAAACCTTTCACACTTTATCAAACTCAGCACAAAAAAATTCATTTTACAAAGTCTCTCTCCACTCCAATATACCACATGTTGTTAATGTTAAGTTCCATCAAATCATTCTGACTCATAGTGAATCTGTAATAGGGTTTCTGAGGAATTGTTGGTGAGTTTGAACCCAGACTCTGTGATTAGCAATCCAATGCTTATTCCACAATGCATCACCAGAATTCTGTATGTTGTTGTTGCTGTTAGGTGCCGTCAAGTCGGTACTGACTCATAGTGACCCTAAGCACAACAATACGAAACACTGCCCAATCCTGAGCCAACCTCACAATTGTTGCCATGCTTGAGCCCAATGATGCTGCCACTTTGTTAATCCATCTGGCTAAGGGTCTTCCTCTAAGTGGCCCAATATTTGCTTTACTCTTTTTTTTTTTTGTCAATGGTTAAATGGAAGCATAAAGATGGAGGAGAACTTATCTAACCTTACAATCAGTAGGTCTTCCGTTTTTTTGTTTGTTTGTTTGCTTGATGTTTGTTTTTGGAATTAGTCTTAGTGGATGGCTTTTTGAAATATAACTGCTAGTGTTAAAGAAATTCCTAATTGTTTAAGAATAACAGTATATTTTATATAAGGACTGTTAAGGGAATTTTTCCTTAAAAGTGATTATTTTTCAATTATGATTGGTGAACTAATGAATCATTAATTTGCTGTTTCCTTTCTAATCATAAAATGAGTTATTGAGTTTCAATAAATAACTAGTATTTGGCAGTCTTCAAATAATTGTATGCTCATTCACTATATTTATAAAATAATTAAAGTTAAAACCTAAGAGTCATCTGTATAAAAGAATTATTCAGAATATTTTATCCTGAAAAAGGTTCTAAAGTAACTTTCGTTAATGACCCATTATTGGTTGATATCTACTTTCTTCATATATGCATCTAATACAGAAAAGTGAATCATATAAGGCTCACTCTGAACATTAGGAATATCAAATTACTTTTCAACACATCATTCTGCAGACATGTGTTGATCCTATTAATAGGGACTAACTCCTGCCATCAAGGAGTTCAGAGTTTCTTGAAGAACACAGTATTCTTAATCATCTATGCCATGAAAAAGTTGGAAAGAGAGAGGAGAGTGAGGAAGAAGTAGTAAGGGAGAGAAGTAAAAGACGGAGAAGAAACAGGAGGAGGAGGAAGATAAACAAGGGAAATGGGAAGAGAGTAAAAATGAAATAAATGAAAGGGAAAGAAAGTTTCATAAATTTCTTATGTGATGCCACAAGCTTGTGGTTCTTGTTATGTGCCATTGAGCCCTTTCTAACCATGTAAGGTTTCAGTGAAGCAGCTGGTGTATTTGAACTGCTAATCTTGTGTTTAAGGATCTGATAACGGCATAGACAGGGTCCCCTGCAAAGAAAGAAGGCACCTGATGGCATGTGTTAGTGTTAGGGAAGCTTCCCTCCAGGTAGGGGTTAGGTAGGCTCAGGGCCAGGCACATAGGACAAATGTCTCTCTGAACTCCAGACACAAATCTAATCTAAGAATTTAAGAGTGTGACATTCCAGAAGCAGGGCAAAATGTTGCTTTTTTCTTGTGCTGTACAATTTTTCCAAGGTGGGGTTAGTAAGGGAGTGTTTAAAAGTTTGGGAGCTCAGGTAGCACCAACATCATAGGTTCATCCACGAGACTTAGATCTGTATTTCACTAGTTGAAATAAAGACTGGGTATAGGTGTGTGGGCATCTGACTATCCAACATGGCTGAACCACCTCAGCCAGATGTGGTTGGTGATTAGTATCTCTGCAGTAGCTAGATGGGTATAGATTGGTCATTTAGGAACCCAACATGCCAGATTCCCTGCAATGGACAAGAGACTGAGGCATTATTCCAAATAAAAGCAGATGCCCCTCCTCAAATTTATCATGAGAAAACAAATGTCTTTTTTAATCTCATGTCCACTTTCTTACAGAGTTCTCTGAAAAATCATGCTGAAGAAAATCAATCCTTAACACATCTCTCACTGACTTGCCTATAAAAACCTGACGACACTTTTGGTGGTTCTTTCTTTCTTTTTTTTATTCTCTCAGGACAGGATAAATGTGCACTAAGTTTATATATGCAAATTTGGCCCCAGAGTGTGACTGGAGCAATTTTCCTCCCTTTCTTCCCACTCTTAATTTCAATATGGAATGAACACATTTGCATTAAGGAGGCCGTGGATCTAGGGAAATTAGAGAACTATAGAACCGAATGTTCTTATTAGTCTAAATAGCATAGAGTGGTAGAGCAGTATTTCAATCTGCTAAGACTTACATCCCTCAAGTAATAAATCCATTCCTTTTTAGCATTCAGCAACAGTTTCCAATGTTCATAATTTACTATGAGTTCCAGAATGTATTCAACATGGAATATTTGTACTTAGAACTGTGGTATCATTCAAGCCTGTTTACCAGTAATGTTAAAGCGTTTCAGGTTTTGCCCTGGTGGCAGATTTGAAAAGCTAAGGTAACATTATTATTTAATGAAAATGACACTGTTAAACAGTTTTCACCATTACAAAGAGACCCAAAGTATCAGTGGGAACATTAATTTGATGCATGGCCCATATCATAGATTCTTCTCAAAAAGAATGCTGAGCCAGTTACAGCAAACGTATGTAAACTTGAATTCAGAATCAGATATTTTTGCTGCAAATAGGAGCATGCATCTGTCATTTCTTAATACCCTACTTATGTTCTTAAGGTTGTGGTTTTAAAATAACCTGCATCACTTGCCAGAGGATACAGACTGTGATTGTAAAGTAGACATTCACCCATTGCTAAACCCTCCTGGACAACCAATCAAGATGGCGGATTGGGTAGATGTGCAGTGAGGAGCTCTGTCACTAACAACACAGAATACTCGGGCAAGCAAGCTCAAGGGATGGTGCTAGAACTCTGAACCACACATAAAGGAATATTTAGAAGATTGGAAGGCTTACAGCTAGGGGAATTGGTAGCGGAATCAAGAAATCCATTGCTTTCTAATTCAAGACACTCAGCTCTCAGCTATTCCCAGAGCTGCCATCTTGATAGAGACCAAGTGGGGGATCAAAACAGCCATGAGCCCCTGACAGGAGTAGACTTTCATTTTTTGGTATCTGTTCATTGGTCTCTCACTGTTTGTGTGCCTCCATTCTGGTGACTAGAGGGGATGCCTGAGTGAATGGACACCCCACCCCCACCCCTGGAGGGTTCCATTACACATGCACACAGATCTCCTAGAAATTTAAAGTGAAAGTTTCCACTTAAAACCAAGCGGCCACCACTCATCTGTCAATTTTTCGTACTGTGATAGCTTGTGAGTTGCTATGATTCTGAAAGCTATGCCACCCCTATTTTAAATACCAACAGAGTCACCCATGGTGGACAGGTTTCAGATGAGCTTCCAGACAAAGGAAGAAAGAGTGATGAACTACTTCTGAATCTTTAGTCACTGAAAACCTTATAAATAGCAGAGAAACACTGTCAGATATAGTGCTGGAAAATGAGCCCCTCAGATTGGAAGGCACTCAAAATGCAACTGAGGAAGAGCTGCCTCCTCAGAGTAGAGCTGACCATGATAACATGAATGGAGTAAAGCTCGTGGGAGAAAAGCCCGTAGGACCTTTATTTGCTGATGGTGCACAACTCAAAATGAAGAGAAACAGCTATAAACATCCATTGAAAATCGGAACATGGAATGTGCGAAGTATGAATCTGGGAAAATTGGAAGTTGTCAAAAATGAAATGGAACTCATAAACATCAAGATCTTAGGCATTAGTGAGCTGAAATGGACTGGTATTGGCCATTTTGAATCTGACAACCACATGGTTTACTATGCCAAGAATGACAAATTGAGGAGGAATGGTGTTGCATTCATCATCAAAAAGAAAATATCCAGATCAGTCATGAGGGACAATGCTGTCTGTGATAGGGTAATATCTATGCACCTACAGGGAAGACCAGTTAATACCACGATTATTCAAATTTATGCACCAACCACGAAAGCCAGTGAAGATGAAGTAGAAGAATTCTACCAACTTCTTCAATCTGAAATTGATCAAACATGAAATCAAAATGTATTGCTCATTACTGGTGATTGGAATGCAAAGGTTGGGAGCAACGAGAAAGGATCAGTAGTTGGAAAATATGGCCTTGGTGATAGAAATGATGATGGAGAACACATTATAGAATTCTGCAAAATCAATGATTTGTTCATTTCAAATACCTTCTTTAGACAGCATAAGAGACAACTATACATATGGACCTCACCAGATGGAATACACAGAAATCGAATGGACTACATCTGTGTAAAGAGATGATGTAAAAGTTCCATATCATCAGTCAAAACAAGGCCAGAGGCAGACTGTGGAATAGACTATCAATTACTAATATGCAAACTCAAAGTGAAGCTGAAGAAAATGAAAACAAGCCCACAAGAGCCAAAATATGACCTTAAATATATTCCACCTGACTTTAGAGATCATCTGAAGAACAGATTTGATACATTAAACACAAAAGACAGAAGACCAGAAGAGTTGTGGGATGACATCAAGAACATCATACATGAAGAGAGCAAAAAGTCATTAAGAAGACAAGAAAGAAGGAAAAGGTCAAAATGGATGTCAGAAGAGACACTGAAACTTATTCTCCAGCGTAGAGATTCTAAAACAAATGGAAGAAATGAGGAGGTCCAAGAGCTGAACAGAAAAATTTCAAAGATCAGCTTGAGAAGATAAAGCCATATATTATAACAAAATGTGCTTTTGAGTTATGGTGTTGGAGGAGAATATTGAAAGTGCCATGGGCTGCCAAAAGAACCAACATATCTGTGTTAGAAGAAGTGCAGCCAGAGTGCTCTGTGGAGGCCAGGATGGCCAAACTTAGTCGCTCATACTTCAGATGTATTTTCAGGAGGGACCAGTCGCAGAAGGACATCATGTTTGGTAAGATGGAGGGTCAGAGAAAAAGAGGAAGACTCCCAACGAGATGGACTGGCCAAGTGCCAGCATCGATGGACTCAAGCATGGCAACAATAGTGAGGTTGGCTCAGGATTAGGCATTGTTTCGTTCTGCTGTGCATAAGGTCACTATGAGCTGGTACCAATTCGATGGCACCTAACAACAACAACAAATGGTGTTAATTCAAAAAAACAAAACAAAAAACACCTACTTCCATTACTCTTCTTATAATTATCAAATTGATTTTTATATTTAAAAATTATTTTTCCTCTTAGCAAAACTCATTTCTAAGTGATAAATGTTAAATAAATATCATTAAGGAAAATATTAAGCTCTGTTTGCTCTCAGAACTGACAGACTCAAAGGAACAATGTGGCAGTATTAAATCCTGATTTCTATTCAGGACAAACCTGGATTAATTTCCTATGATTGCCATAAGTACATACTGTGTGACTTAAAGTAATAGAAATTTATTTTTTCACAGTTCTGAATGCTTATTTTTGTTGTTAAGTGTAATTGAGTCAGTTCTGACTCATAACAAACCTGCATAGTGTTTCCAAGGAGCAGTTGGTGGGTTTGAACTGCCAGCCTTGTGGTTCAAACAGATCTTTTTGTCAAGTGTTTATCCTACAGCACCACACCATGTCTGAAGTTAATGTATAGGCAAAGTTGGCTCCTTCTGGAGGGCTCTGAGTGAGTTTTTGTTCTATATATGCCTCTATTCTAGATTGTAGAGGTATCTAGTAAACCTTGGCAATTCTTGGCAATCCATCTCTTCCTCCACCATTACTTGATGTTGTGTGTCCCTGTGTGCATCTCTTCTCTTGTTGTAAGAAAACTACTCTTGTTGGAATTAGGGCTCAGCCTACTTCAGTACAATCTCATCTTAAGTAATCACATCTGCAAAGGCCATATTTCCAAATACAGTCACATTCTAAACTTCTGGGAAGAACACGAATTTTGAGGGTGGCCAAATCATTCTTCAAATTTTGGTCTGTTTCAGCCCCTTCTCTGAGAACAACAGGAAGGCTAAAATAAACTGAAAACAGGGTCCTAGGGTTAGGTGGGTATGGGCAGGCACCTAGAAAATTCCATTCTGCAGTTGTTCTGTCAGTGCTGATGGGCTCTGTGTATTTTGCTGGCTCGTTGTAGGGTCCTCTTTGTCCATGCTCCTTTAAGGAACCCTAGATTCTGAATGGAATGGTCAGATGAACCTTGAAAAGACTTTAGATTATTTTCTGTAGTTAGAACTCCTGGCAACCTCAAGAATTGACAGAGGAGGGAAACATCAGCAACTGAAAGGAGACATCTGGTAGCAGATTTCATAAAGTTTCACTTAGAAATTAGTATTTTATGGTGATTTTTTAAAATGTGAATGACAAAACTGTAACCATCTAGGTTGCCATATTTTGTTGCTACAGTTAATGGATTCTCTGTATTGTAGTGTAAAGAAAGAACCAAGACTTTAGAATTACTTCAGAACCTTAGTATTTGCTGGCTGTGTGACATGGAAAAGTCTGTTTTCTCTCTGAACTTCCATGTTTTGGACCAAAAAGTGAAAGAAAAAAGATAGTTGAAAATTTACCAAATATTTATTTTATAACCTTGGTATGAGACTAAAACAAATATAGATATGAAAGTTTTATAAATGACATAAATTAGACATGTTCTTCATCTTGTGATGTTGATCACTTGTGAACAGAATCAGTATTTTATTTATTTTTGCATACCCCACTGGGCCTATCATCCTACCTGCTAGATAGTAGTTACTCAGTAAATGCTCAGTAAATACATTAAATAACTTTGAAAAGTGCCATAAAATAATAATTTATTTTGTATTTCTCTTTTTGTGCCTTAGAAACCTCAAGAAAAGGGAAGCAAATTCCCCAGCTCAGCTTCTCTCTTTTTCTAAGCTCCCTGAACCAACTAGCCGAGCTATTTCTCAAGCAGCAGAGATAATGGACATTTCAATACAAGCACTGAAAAAAAAATTTTACCTGAAACCTAAGCAATCACAGAACCCAACTGGTAAGCATACCTCCTGAGTGCCCTGGTCCTTGCCCTGGGGAGTGACAACCCCCAGTCCTTCAACAACATGCCAAACTTGTTCATGGTCAACAGTGGGGGTTGCAGAGGTTTGACACCAATCAGGAGTGTAATTCATGTCCATTAACAGTACAAAAGTAGCAGATCTTCAAAAATGTTTGAAAAACAGACTCATTGCTTTCTTTTTGTTAGTCTCTACTATTTAATTCAAATTTGGAGAAGCTAGCTCAAAAAGCTAAACCTCTTATTTTATAAAACAAGCTAAGAATCTTTCTATACTCTGCCTACCTAATTAAATTTGGGAAGCTCATTGATATATATGTATATCTTGAGGAAACATACTTAGGTGCAAGCCGCACATTATTGTGAGAGAACTTGAAATGACCCAGTCTTCCACTTTCTCATTGTTACCTTAATGCAGTTACTCAAACCTTTCAAAATGAGAACTTTAGTTGCTGTGGGTTAAAGTGCTGGATCGCAAGGTTAGTTTGAACCTGAAGGCCAGTGGTTCAAACTCACAAGCCACTCCTTGGAAACCTCATATGGGGTTGCTATGAGTCTGAACTGACTTTATAGCACTTAACAGCAACAACTCACCAGATGGATATGGACAGACCAAAATGAAAGCAAAGAGGAAATCAGTTAGCTCTAAAGTACTTTATCAATAAAACATATTTTAGTTGATAATGGTTACAATCATGTGTCATACTTATAATTTCTATAACAGAGAGAAAGCAATATGTTATAATACTTAGTTTAAGTTTTACAGCCTTTTTTCAGTGCTATACCAAAAATGACTTGGTCCTGAATTCTTCATCCTAATTAGCTGTAAGTTAATTTGTTATTGATTGTCTTAGCCTTTAGAACAAGGCAGACACAGCTAAACCAGGATTAGCCAGAATTCTCAGTTAGGAGGACACTTAAATTTAATTGATTCTCTTAAAACCAAAGATTCATTGGAAACAATTTTTGTTTCAAAGAGTGTGGTTAAAAACATTTCTAAGAACTATTGGTCTGCTTTCTTATCACATTATAGACTAGGACTATAATAGAAATTATGTTTGGTATTAGAAGACATTAGTTTTCTGGTCCATGGTCTGGAATCTCAATTCTTATTGCCTAAACCTGTGGATTTAAGCAATTAAGGAGATTACGCTGATGTGTTTGAATCCAGGTCATATTATAGAATTTAACAACCCACAAACCAAAAATGTTTTTTAATATTTTCAGTATAAACTTAGCCTATTTAGAAATTTTATAGTGTGGGACAGTAAAAGAATCCACAATGACCTCCTATTAATCCACTAACCCCATAGCTTTTCAGTCAAGTCAAACAGAAAAGAACTGTTCCAAGGTTATAATCTTTACTAAAGCCTGGCCCCATACAGTGACTGGTAGGTTCAAACCACCAGTCACCGTAGCAGTAGAGTGCTTAACTATTGCATTACCAATGTTCCCCATCATTCTGTTATCAAATGTTAACTATCATCAAATATATGTATCTCTCTTTTCAGTCTGTTTCTTCACATTGGCTTAGCTTGCTTATTAAATTAGTTATGATAATGGTGAATGATATCACTCAATGGTGAATGATAAGCACTGAACTGTGAATCACAGAGTAGGCTGTTAGAGTCCACCAGCAAGGAAGAAAGAAGAAGCTTTCTATGCCCACAAAGTTGTAAAGTCCCAGAAACCTGACAACACTTAACAATAACAACATAGTCATATTGCTATTTTTTTTCTTTTTTACTGAACATTTTTTTCTTATACTTGGACATTTTTCTGTTCTAAAGTATCTGCACTCATATTTTCAGGTCTGATAGTCTTCTATTAACTGAATTCAAATCATATTCAGAATTTTATTTAACCATTCCTATAAACTCATTCTCATTTATTCAATGATTATCATTATTATTATTAATTATTAAAAACCTTGTTTTGCTCCTCTCCAGTTTCAGGATAGAATACATTTCTTCCAGTTTATTGTTTGTTTCCCACCATAGTAGATATTTCAATTTCTTTGGTATTTGGTTAATCAAAGATATGATGCTATATTTTAAGATCTATATAAACCCTCTTGGAGAAATAACTAGTGATTCTTGTTGTTGTTAAGTGCCATCAAGTCAATTCCGACTCAGCGACTCTGCATATGGTTTCTGAGGAGCAGCTGGTGAATATGAACCAGCTTGCAGTTCAAACCAACCTATGGTCAAGTGCTTATCCAACAGTACCACACCATAGGCAACTAAACAGCCCTTGTTTTTATTTCTTAAATAATATATAAGCAACAAAAGAATTAGAAGAAGAATAAAAGACACTGTTTTAGGGGATCTTAAGTTGGAAAGATTTACAGGAAGGAAACTAAAAATCAATATCTGGAAAAATGAAGTTTCATGGATAGACTTATTAATGCTTTTAGCAAACTTGACCAAGGTGAAGTTCTGGGGGAAGATGGGGAAACAAAGACTGTATATTCTTTGTCTTCTGAAGAGTTGGTGCTATCACTAGACACAAATGCTTCAGCTGTGCTATTGTTGTGAATGGGGGGCCCAAGTAAGTTGATTAACATTGGAGATGTGTAAAATGAGAATTGGCAATAACTCTGAGAAGTAGATTGTTTGCTTATCCTTCTGGGCATTCAGAATTCTTTAAATCATTTTCTTAAAGACCACAAAGCTAAAATACATTGGCCGGAAAAAAAAGGGAAAGAAAAACACACGTTCCTAACAATAAAAAAAACTCAAGGAAATTAAATGAAAGAACTATTGATTTAAGGGAAGAAGGAAGATTTTCTTCGTAAGAATGATTTAGGTTTCATATACATATGACAATTCACATATTTTTCAATTAAAAAGAAACCTCTTTTATTGTTCATTTCACATTTGTTTGCATGTATAGTGTTTCACAAACTTAATTATGAAGATATTTAGAATACAGACTGTGACTTATAATTCAGATAAATAATATACTGAGTTGGGTAAACAGTTGTTGTTAAGTGCTGTCGAATCTGGTCCCTCTCAACTTGTATAGAGTTTCCAAGGAGCAGCTGGTGGTTTGAACAGTCAATTTTGCAGTTAGAATTCCAGTGCCCATCCTACAGCATCATACTAGGACTCCAGAATGTTGTTGTTGTTGTTAAGTGCCTTCAAGTTGGTTCTGACACATAGCAACCCTGTATAAGATTGCCAAGTTGTGGCTGGTGAGTCTGAACCACTGACCTTGAAGTTCATACTGAACTGAATTGAATGAATGAATGATTTTCTCTAAGTTATAATCTATAGAACAAAAATGAGTTGCACTTTTACTACAATCATCTTTTTACATATACAAAGCACCTCTTGGTAATACTAAGCTAAACTACATGCACTGACAATTTTTAACCACCTTTTACATTCAAAAGTCACAATTTCATAAGAGTCAGCCTATACCATCATTAAGGAACCTTGGTAGGATAGTGGGTTACAAGTTGGATTGATAACTGCAAGATCAGCTATTTGAATCTATCAGCTACTCTACAGAAGAAAGATGAGACTTTCTGCTCTGGTAAAGATTTACAGCCTTGTAAATCCTGTACAGGGTCGCTATGGGTCGGAACCGATTCCAGGACACATAACAACAAGTCCTGGTGTGGCGCTGTGGGTTAATGTGCTAGACTGCACAGTCGGTTTGAACTGCAAGGTTTGTGGTTCAAGCTCACCAGTAGCTCCTTGGAAACCCTCTAGAGGGTTGCTATGGGTCAGAACTGACTCGTTGGCACTTAACAACAACAACAAAACCCTATACAGGGTTGCTATGAGTTGGAATCGATTCCTAGGCACACAACCACCATCACCACATACCATCACTGGAATCCTAGTGAGATAGTATAAGCACTGGAATGCTAAACACAAGGTTAGTGATCCAAACCCATCAGTCACTCCTTGGAAAACCTATATAGGATCACTATGAGTCAGAACTGACTCAATGACATTTAACAAGAACAGCAACATATCATTGGTATACTGAGAAAAACATTCCATTGAATTGTTCTAGAAAACCAACCATTAAATATACCAAGTAATTTGATTTGACAAGTCAATCCCGAATTCCTATTGTCAGACCAACTTTTGAGATATTATTAATTATAGATTGATTTAGAATTATAGAGTGAATCTGGTTTGTTTACTTTTTTCTCAGATGTTTTATCAGTGGATCTTTTGAACACACTTGCAAATTTGTCTGGATGCCTGCCTTATATGTTACCACCAAAATGTCCAAATACTTGTGTTGCAAATAAATACAGACTTATCACAGGAGCTTGCAACAACAGGTAATGTGTATAGATTTCCTTATTCTTCTCATGTACATTTTGTTTTAATTTGATTAGATGCCCACCATGAAGGAGATCCTGTAAATAATTTGTTATCTTTGTTGTCCCTCCAAGCTTCATTCCTATACCCACTGATTACTTGAAATTTCCATGTGGATGCCTGGGAGACATCTCTGACACAAAATGAGAAAGTAGAATTTTTTTTCCCTTAAAAATAAGTGTATAAAAATCATCCCTAACTTTCTAAACTCAGAAACTTGAAACAATATCCATCTAATTGTTTAAGGCAAATACTTAGGATTTATCCTTGATTTCTCCAAATACCTTATCCACTTTATCCAGTACATCATGAAATCTGTTCGTTCTAGCTCTAAAATGTGTCCTGAAACTCTCCACTTCTCTTTGCATTTTGCACTTTCCTCCTATCTCTAACCTAAGTAGAAGTCAATATAGTATACTAGATTGCTTTTGAATTTACTGCTTTCTGTGGGAGAAAGATGAGGCTGTCTGCTCCTGCAAAGAGTTAGTCTCAGGAACTTTATATAGGTTTACCATGAGTCAAAATCAAATTGATTCCAGTGGGTTTTGGGGTTCTACATTCGATACTGGGCTCAGACATAACAATGATTGTGAGGATAGCACAGTATTGGGCAGTGTTTCCTTCTGTTCTTCACTATGAATTGGAACCAACTTGATGGCATCTAACAACAACAACATCATTCTATACAGGGTTACTAGGAGTCAGAATTGATTCATTGGTGATGAATTTGGTTTGTTTTTTTTTTTCTTTTTTGTATATTCCGTATTGCAGTCACAGTGATCTTTTAAAACCACACAGTTCATCATGGTATGCTTCTGTTTAACACCCTTCACTGGTTTTACTTTTTACTTAGAGTAAATCTAAACCTTTTTCCAGAGTCTGCAAGGCCTTAAGTTTCTCACCTCTGTCAATTTTACTGAAATCAAGTCAAATCAGGCAGCCCTTGGTAGCTATGCTCCAGCCAACTAACGTTCTCTTGGTTACTAGGACACACTTATTCCCACCTCAGAGACAAAGTACTTACTTTTCTCTTTACTTACAATAAATAATCTGTTGTCAAATCCTTTTGATGATTGCATTTTTGTAATTCTGATCTCATTTCCAATAGCACATCTCATGAGGCCTGTCTTAACCTTTGAGTTGTATAATAATGAGTTAATATGCTTTACTTTGTTGTTGGAATCCTGATGCAGGATAAGCACTAGACTGCAAACACAAGGTCGATGATTCAAATCTACCAGCTGCCCTTTAGAAACCCTATCCTGGGTAGCTATGAATCAGAACTAACTTGATGGTCATTAAGTTGGCTCCAAGTCGTAGCTATTGTGTGTACAGTAGTAATACTCCTGGTCCTGCACTGTCTTCACAGTTGTTGCTATTTTTTTGCATCCACTGCATCAATCCATCTTGTTAAGAGGCTTCCTCTTTATTGCTGGCCCGCTACTTGACCAAGCATGACACCTTTATCCAGGTGCTGGTCTTCTTACATGAGATCAAGTTTCATCATCCTACTTCTACGACACTTTCTCACTGTATTTCTCCCAACAGTGATTTGTTTGTTCTTCTGGCAGTCCATATATATATATACTATTCTTCACCATCACCATAACTCAAAGGCATCAGTGTGTGGCACTATAGATAAACACTGGACTGCTGACCACAGTCCCTCCTCAGAAACTCTTTACAGGGTTGCTATGAGTTGGAATTGATTCAAAGGCACTTAACAACAACAGTTCTTCTTAAGTCTATTCATTGTCAAGCTTTTGAATGCATGTGAGATGTTTGAAAAGCCCATGGCTTAGGTCTAAAGCACCTTAGTCTTAAGTGACAGCTTTGTTTAATAACACTTTAAGATTTGCAAAATGCAATACATGATTTGATTTCCTGACTACCAGTGGGGTTTGGGGTTCTACATTCTATACTGGGTTCAATTATGAAAGTGTAACAGTTGTCTAGTGGGGAGATACAGATCATGGATGTAAAGATTGACTAATTTTATAGATGTAGCAACATGGAATGTGGCCAAACAAGGTTTCAGGGATGAAACCTCCAGAGTGAAGCTAAACATATACGTAGAGGTTCATTAGACAGTAAGGGCATCCTAGTCAGAAAGTAAGTAAGAGACTTGACTTTGTAGGTTATATGTAGTAGAAAGGAAGCAAGTGGTGGTGGTAGTAAAAGAGGTAAAAATAGTTACAGGGACAATAGGACAGAACTCCATTTTGGGTGACTTTCATGCTTTTTTTTCTCTGCTGAAAATCGAACAAACATGCTCTAAAAATGTTAGTGACATTATTTGCATGATCTTGCCCACAAAGTTGGCAAATTCATTTTCCAGCCATTTCCCTTGCTTCCTTTTCAGTACCTGTACTTTTGCACATCCCACTGGGCACTCAGGGCCCAGCTCCATCTCTCTTTCCATAGGAAAAATCCCTTTAAACCCAACAGAAAAAATGCCCTTTCTGCTCTTCTTTCTCTGTGTTCCCACAACAATTAATTGTCAATTATTTTCTTAGTCACTCATATGACACTGAGCTCATACTGTTATTTTCTACTTGCCTTTGTATAAATATGTCTTATATCCCTGACTAGATGGTAGACTACTAAAAGGTGTAGTCCTCAACCTAACACCCTAGATTGTAAATTCTCTTTAATATTCTCAATAGTGAGGCTGTTTATATATATATATGACATATGTAGTATGTATTTAATATATGTAATAGTATTCATATTAAAATATGGGGTTTATTCTCAGGCCTTAAAATTCTCAATAAAATATAAAAGTTTTTCTGCAAGATTCAGTCAGCATGTTTAAAATTCAGTCTTTTTAAAAAAAAAAAAAAACATGGGACTTAAAATTCAAGGCAGAGGGTTTTTGTTTTTGTTTTATAATCCTTCTGTGATATATATTGTTTTAACTTATAAAATGTATTTTCCTTTTCAGTATTTATGGCTATTAAGGTTTGTCTCTAAATCATTGAAAAGTTAGATTATAAGTTTGTATTTCAAGTATTAAAAATAGGATTTTCATCTATAGTAAGCTAGGATTATTAGCTGTTTGAGAGTCACCAGTGGACAAAATTCTTTTATTCGTTGCCAACACCATAATTCAAATACATTGATTGTTCTATAGTCTTCCTTATTCATTGTCCAACTTTCACATGCATATGAGGCAGGTGATTGAAAATGCCACAGTTTGGGTCAGATGAATGTTGTTCCTCAAACTGACATCTATTCTATGGAACACTTTAAAGAGGTCTTTTGCAGAAGATTTGCTTAATGAGATATGTCTTTTGAATTCTTGACTGCTGCTTATATCATCTGTGTATCACAGGTTGTTAATGAATCTTCCTCCAATCCTGATGCCACTTTCTTCTTCATATAATTTAGCTTCTCAGATTATTTGCTCAGCATACATATCGAAAGAATACAGTCCTTGCATACACCCTTCCTGAATTTAAACCACTCAGTATCCCCTTGTTCTGTGCAAGCTACTGCCTCTTGGTCTGTGCACAGGTTCCTCATGAGCACAATGAAGTATTCTCGAATATTCATTTTTCTAAATGTCATCCATAGGTTATTGTGATCCACACACAATCAAATGCCTTTGCATAGTCAATAAAACACAAGTCAACATGTTTGTGATATTCTAAAGTGAGGATACATGTTTTCCCCTTATCATTGCTTTGTTTGCACCCATTGTTGAAGCCACTCTGTCAAACCATCTCATTGAGAGTCTTTCTCTTTTTCACTGATGTTCTACTTTACCAAGTATGTTGTCTTTCTCCAAGTAATGGTCCCTACTGATAACATGCCAAAAGAATGGGAGACAAAGTCTCCCCATCCTCATTTTTAAGGAACATTCTGGCTCTACTTCTTCCTTGTCAGATTTGTTCATTATTCTGGCACTCTGCATGAATAATTTATTTCAGAAACATCAGCACAAGACTGGTCCCTATGAGTTGAGGTTACAGATATCCCAACTGCCTGACTTTTCCAACATATTAAACCACTTCACAATCCTTGGTATGACCAACTCCTCCCCTCTTTCAGGTCTTATACAACACACTGCAACATCTCACAAAACTCACAACTGATAAAGAAACAGCTCACATAATTGTGAAACCTGTAAGTCCTTAATCTGTATTCAGAGACCTGTATGGAGAAATCTTCTCATCCAAATTGGCAGGTCAGATGACAGGCTATTGATGTGCAAAACTGTAGCAGCTGGTGAATTCGGTCAGGTAAGGAACTGAAAGTCCCACAAACTGGATGTCAGACAAAAGGAGCCAGGTACAGGATTGAAAGAAAGTGAGCGAGTTTTTATAAAGCAATCCTATACATTGGAGTCAGACTATAGTTCCAAGGGAAACTAAGACCTGAGTCATACCCTCTAATAAACAGGGGGCATCCTTAATCCTTATATCTGCTGTAATCCTTTATCTCTAACCTTACCTTAATCCCTAAGCCTTAGTTCCACCTTAATACTTTTCCTTTGTTGTAGCTTTAAAGTGCCATCTAGTCATGGTGACCCTGCATAGGATTTCCAAAGAGCAACTGGTAAATTTGAACTACCAACCTTGTGGTTCAAACAGACTTTGCAGTCCAGTACATTAACCCACAATGCCATACCAGGACTTGAATTCTTTCCCTCTAGTCTCACCTTTTATCCTTACTCCTTGTTGTTAAGTGCCGTTTAGTGTGTTGTGACTCATGGCTACCCTGTGTACAGTTTCCAAGGATTGGCTGGTTGGTTTGATCCACTCACCTTTCAGTTCAAATCGATCTTGCAGTCCTGTACTTAACCTACAGTGCCACACTAGGACTTTGTACTCCTTGTTGTTGTTGAGTGATATTGTGTCGGTTCCAACCAGTAGCGACCCTATCTAAGGTTGCAGAGGAGCAGCTGATGGGTTTGAACAGCCAACCTTGTGGTTCAAACTGACCTTGAAGTCCAGCA